TGGGACAAATGTGAGTGGGGAGGGCTGTCGTATGGGAACCAGACGAGGGCGGGGCAGCGGCTCGCACGTGAAGCCAAGCCGGGGGCTGCGCCCTGCTCCTGTGCAACCCGGCTATTCAGGGAAAGCTGCCTGCCTGCAGTGGAGTGAAGCAGAAGAAGACTGATGGGTGGAGCTGGGCTGCAGCAGCAACATGCAGCAACGGCGCCGGCACCGGCAGCTGCTCACGTTGCCTAAGTGCTGGACCGGGGAGGGCGGTGGCCGGCCCTGTCGGTGACAAGAGTGCTAAATGATTTGTGAGCATGATTGTAACCACTAGCTTGAGGAGAGCATTCTGCAGAGGGGGTAGTCAAGAGTCTGTGGGCGCCAGCTGCAGGGCGCCATTCAAAAATGCCAAGCTGCAGGGAGGCGTTTCCCGGTCCGCCCGTGCGTCCAAACCTTTTCTAACACCATTGGAATGCGATCAAGGCACGTGGCCCGCGAGTGAAGTTGGTTTTCAGGCGGTTTTGCGCCCACTGACAGGTGGTGGGAGCTCGCTGCACACTTGTAGGGCGTGTTGGCCCGCTTTTCAAGAGCCCAATGAGTGTACAAAAATGGGTGAATCGAGCGGCTGGCGGGCATGCACGCATGAGGGCGTCCAGGCCCTAAGGTGGGCAAGGGTGCACGTGGCAGAGGTGCGCCATGGGCACCTGCCAGCAGGGCCACGCCCATGCTTGAACTGGGCAGCCCCACCGCCTTCAGAAGCGCGAGCCGGTGATGGTGTGTGCACCAAGGGGCCATCGATCAGTGCTGCCGGGCCTCCATTCGCCGGCAATTCTATGAGCAGCCCCGGGCTCGTGCAGAGGATGCAGCGGCGTTCGTCACGGGGCGCGGCTCGGTCAGCGCGGTGGCAGGAGGCAGCAGAGGCGGGCCAGGGGCTGAGCGAAGAGGAGGAGGCCCCGCGCAAGCGCAGGGCTGGCAAAGGCACGCCGCTACGCTGTGCTTTACATGATGGGCTGAAAGTACATATTGTTTGGATTGCAGGACCCTGCCTGGGCCAGCCCGCATCTCCACACGCCGCCCGCCCACCGCCGCCCGCGCCGACCTGTTGCATTGTGGCCTGCTGCCCCCACCGCCGCAAATTGCAGCCCCTGTGGAGGAGCAGGATGAGGAGGATTATGCCCCGGACCAGGATGAGGAGGAGGCGGAGCAGCAGAAGTGCAGTGGGCGGCAGGCAGGCGGCAGGCGGGCGCTCGCTGCGGGTGACGAGGCAGGGCCGTCGGCCAAGCGCGGCCGCCGTAGCCTGCCGGCGGCAGTGAAGCAAGAGCCCGGCGGTGCGTGCCGTGCTGGCATCGAGGCCAGGCGTTGGGCTGCTGCAACCGCACCACTGCCTCCTCCCTTGTTGGAGCACCGCCTCGGTCCAAAGGCAGTACCTCTCACATGCATGGCCTGCTGTTCCCCCGCCACCCCAATGCACACCATTGCTTCGTCGCTGCGCCCACGCTTGCCAGCAGGGGGTGAGGCCGGCCCGTCGCGCTATGCAGCAGCAGCGGGAGGAGCTGCGCGAGCCACCAACGCCGAGCTTCGAGCGGTGGACGAGAAGGTGGGGCGGCCTGGGGCGGCGTCGCGGCCCAGCGCCATCCATGCTGCATGCCTGCGCCCGCTACGCCCTGGTCTCTGCATCACCAGCACCCCGACCTGATGCAGACTGCCGGCCTGTGTTTCTCCAGTACCGAGCGCGGTCCCTTGCGGGGCATCCCGCGCAGCGCTGATCCTGCTGCCAGCCGCTTTGCGCTGCTGTAGATAGCAGAGTACCGTCGGCTGCGGGACCATGCGGCGGAAAAGGCGGAGGGCAAGGCGCCTCGCATGGTGAGTCCAGCCGAGGCATGGGACCTCCTGGTACCAACCACACCACACCACAGCCTGCTCAGCCCGCTCCTGCCTGTCGTTTCTTTCCACCATCGCTGTCACGAGCGCTGCCTGCTGCTACCTTTTGAAATCACCACCCCTCCGCCCCCCGCACGCCGCTGCCGAGCAGGCGATGGAGCAGGCGTCGCGGGCGCTGGTGCGTCACATGCTCTTCTCACACAGCGAGAAGCCGGGGGTGCCGGTCAAGCGCGCAGGCAAGCTGGCGCCGCTGCCAAACACCCAAGCAGCCTGCACCTGGTCCAAAAGCCCTGCCACCAGCGGTGCAGTGTGGCTGCCCGCAACAATTACAGGTGGCTGCTGGCCTCGACCAGGATCCCCCTGCTGCCTGCCGCAACCCTGCTTGTGCTGCAGAGGTGTCTGCCGTGGTGACCCAGCGCTTCCCAAACCTCAAATCCAAGACCGCAGTCACATCGTGAGTGTTGGCTTGGCTGCCCGGTTTGTTCCTAGCTGTTATGCGACTGGCTGGCTGGCTGCCTGCCTGCCTGCCTGCCTGCTTCGTCCGCCTGGTCACTGGCTTGCCTGCCTCCCCTCACCGCTTTTATCTGCTCTGCAGGTATGTGATTGCACACGCGCAGCACTACCTGGCAGCTAGCCTGGGCCTGGAGATGCTGAGCCAGAGCAAGGCGACGCTGCGGGGGCGCGAGGGCGCGGTGCCAGGCACGCCCTGCGCCACACGGCCCTGGCATTGCGTGCCGTCACTGCTCCTGCTGGGGCCGCCAGCACATGCCACAGCGAGCCGGGAAGCTCACACACCTGTGCCTCTGCCGTGCGGTGCTGCCTGCAGGCGGCGACGAGGGCAGCCAGCAGTTTGTGCTGCGCAGCATGGTGCCGCCGGCGCTGCGGGCAGGTGCGCCTGTCCTCTACTGCTGCTGCTGCTGCTGTGGCCATGTTAGCAGGCTGTGGCCAAGGACTGCCGCCACCACCACCGCCACCATGCACACCCACCGACACCATACACATGCACAGACCACCACCGCACACGCACAGCCTGCCCCTGCCCGCCGCCTGCTGCAGCGTATGTGCTGGACCCATCCCAGGCCTCCCAGCGGGGCCTGCTCATGGTGGTGCTCGCGCTGATCAACCTGGCTGGCGGCAAGCTGGAGGAGGGTGGGTGGAGGCGGCCCTGGCTGGCTCCGGGGCCGGCGGGCGCGGGGCTGGGTTTGTTTTTTGTTAAGAAAAGGTGTGGGGGGCGCTTCAGAAGCACGGGCTGATCCCCACCACTTTCCCTGCCCGCATTTCGTGCATTTCATTTCATCAGAGGAGCTGGCGACGCAGCTGGCGGAGCTGGGCGTCTCCACCCAGCAGCCGCACCCCGTGTTTGGGCAGGTGGATGCCCAGATCAAGTCCTTCTGCACGCGCAGGCAAGCCGGCTGGCGGTGGTGGCCGTGGTGGCGGTGCCTGGGGGGTGGGTGGGTGGGTCGGCCTTGGGACGCCAGAATGCGCCCACCTGCGGCATGGCTCATGGCTGCCGTGCGTGGGTGCTGACGTGGCGGCCAGCTGGCGCCGGTTGGTTGTTGTTGCAGGTACATCCAGCAGGACAAGCAGGCGGGGCCCGAGGGGGATGTCATCGTGTACCGCTTTGCGGAACAGGTGCGGAACAGGCGGCACATATGGTCAGTCGGTACATCTGGTGCCGTGCTGCCGCGCTGTGCGACTCGAGACATGATGTGCTGCGGTGGGCCAGGCGGGCGCATGCTGCGCATCGCCATGCATCGTCGCGCTGCCGCCTGCCGCCTGCCGCCTGTCGCGTCCCATCCTCAGCCTGACCCTGCTTATGGAGCCCATGCCCCCTCCCTCACGCGCCTCTGCCCAGGCTGTGGGGCCACAAGCTGAGATTGGTGAGTCAGCCATCCATCGGTTCATTGAGGATCAATTCGCGGCGGCACCGGCGGCGGGCGGAGGCGGCGGAGAGGATCACTAGCCTGCCGAGCAGCAGCACAGCAGGCATTGTCTTCACTTCCCGCCTCCTGAGCTGAGGCGGTGCTTCCTCCTGCTGCAGCAAGCAGGGCTGCAGTGGGTGTGTAAGCTGCTGCTGCCAGAGCACACAGGCAAACTGTCGTGGGATTGACCAGGCAATGCGAGTGTGTGTCACCGCCTGCTCAGGTGCTTGTAGAAATCCGTGGGCAGCTGGCGGGTCTTGTGTGGCAACTCAGCAGCCGACACACCCCGACATGGTCGGTCCCTGCGGCGCTCTCCGACACAGCCATCTCCTGGACCCGCCTCCGAACTTGCTTTGACTGACATGTTTCGAGCTGCTGAGCATGTATGCATTGGGCAGAGGCAATGAGGGGGCCGCTAGAGGGGCAGCGCCCGTGGGGATGGCGGCGGCATGCTGCCGCCATCTCGCTGAATGGCGGCTGCCTGCCTGGCTGGTGGGCGGGCGCGGCCCGGTGGGCCAGCCCGCCCTCCCCAGGCCCCCCTGCCACTCTCCGGCCTCCGTGCTGTCCGGAGGTCCGCCAGCAACGCGGCAGGCGACGTAGCCCCTGCTGCGACTGACCACAGCGGGCGCCGGCGCACAAAAGAGGGCGCCGCCGCCGCTGGCACCTCATTCTCCCACTCCTCGCCGCAGCTCTCCTGCTGTTTTTGCGGACACCCCCGGCAACCCCTTGTGCCCTGTGTACCTCCTTGCCCACAGCCCTGCCTCCCACCAGGATGGCCACCTCCGCGACCCTCTCCCTCGCCTCGGCACGTCTGGCATCCCCCGCGGGTGGGTGCCCCAGACTGCAGCGTGACGGGGAGCCTCGCACCTCGCCGCCTCCTCGCATGCTTGCAACGCGGCTGCCCATCTCACCATGCACCCTTTGCCCCACCCCTCCTTGCTCCCTGCAGCCCACCTCAAGCTGCGGCTGATGTCGTGGAATGACGGCCAGGCGCTGCATGCCAAGGTGAGGCTGGGTTGTGTGGGCCCGGGTGCCGCCGCTCCGCCGCTGCTCGCTTCCGCTCCCAACCGACCCTGTGCCACCAACCGCCAGAGGTGGACTGCCTGCTGCCAGGCTCTGGTCCTGCTTGTGACTGGTTCCCGACCCTGAGTTCTGAATCACATCATCGGTCCTTTGCTTCTTCCTGTCTATACCCTTCCTCACCACTCACCGCTCCTGCCGCTCGCTCCACCCCTGCAGGCAGCCCTGGCGGCCCCCTTCTCCCGCACCCCAAGCTTCGAAATCCCCGCCCAGCACCCGCAAGCTGGCCTGGCCGCCCTGGCCTCCCCAAAAGACACCTCCCTCTGGCCGTCCCTGTCTTCCGCCACCCCCGCCCCTGCCCGTGCACTTGCCGGCTGCTGGGCCACCCGCCAGGCCTGCATCCTGCCTCCTCCCGTGCCCACCACCACCACTACCGCCGACTGTGGCTGCCAGGCAGACGCCGAGGACGTGTTGCCTCGCTACTTCAACACCACCCCCGCCTGCATCGTCAACACCCCTGCTGCCGACATGCACGAGGCGGCGACCAGCACCTACCTGCCCCCCGCCTGCCGCCTCGGCGCCTCACCCGCCTCCCTGGCCGGCCACGCCTATCCCACCTGGAGCATCGCTGACATCTGCTCTCGGCACCAGGCGCCCGCTGTGGTGGCACCAGCTGCCTACGTGCCGCCGCAGCGCCGCACCCCGGCTGAGCAGGCAGTGGCTGCCACAGCTGGCCGCCCCGGCCGCCCCTGCGCCTTCCCCGCGCTGACGGCGGGGCCGCTGCCCGAGGCGCCGGCAACACTGACTGCAGCTCCTGTGTACCTGATGGCGCTGCAGGGGTGAGTGCGGGGGTGCAGTGCCAGGGTGGGCTGTGCACTGAGCCTTCCTGTCTGCCTGCCTGCTGCCAAGCCTCTGTCTCTGAGCCTCGGGAAGCCCTCAGTGACTCATGTGCACCGCCTGCCTCCCCTCCCCCTGCTGCAGGCTGCTGCCCCAGCCCTCCTGCCCTGCTCTCTCCACCCCCGCTGAGGAGCCTGAGGCTGCTGCCGAGCCCACGGACACCACCACTCCAGCTCCTGCCCCTGAGGCACCCGCCGCCCCTGCCACTGCTACCGCCAAGCACCAGCGCCGCTCCTGGCCTGCACCCCGCCCGATGGCGGCGGTTGTCATGGCCCTGTGCAGCCAGCGAAAGCAGCAGCACAAGCCCTGCCGGCAGGGGCGCCGCACCGTGCGTGCCCCCATGCCGGCCCACCAGCAGCAGCCCAAGACGGCCACCCGCCGCTGCCACCAGCACCAGCCCCGCCCCCGCGCCTGCTGCTAGGCGATGCTGCCTGGGCGGGCACCCCCCCCCCCCCCCCCC